AGGGAGGAAGGAAGGAAGGAAGGAAGGAAGGAAGGAAGGAAGGAAGGAAGGAAGAAAGAAAGATGGGTGTCTGGTATTGGTAGAAAACGGGCACCTGCCAGTGAGGGAGGAACAGATCTGGCCTGTTTATGGGGTTGGGGGTTGGATTAGATAAGCTCCCATGAGAATGTGTGTCTGCCCTGGCGTACAGTAGCATTCACTCTGCATGGCTGTTCAGTACTTGAAGTCAGTGTTCTATTTAGTTGCTGTCAATTTAAACAGCCTCATTTGGCCAGTACTTAAGAAATTCACTGGAAGATAGACATGAGCCATGCCTGTGACCCCAGCACTTGGGGTGTGGACAGTGGAGGCAGGAGAATCAGGAGTTTAATTTGAGAGACAGGGTTTCCCTGTAGCCCTAACTAACCTGGAACTTGCTATGTAGAGTAGGCCAGCTCCCATCTTATGGAGATCCACTTGCCTCTGCCTCATAAGTGCTGAGATTAAAGGCATGTGCCACCATACCTGACATTGTATTAGAATCAGGAATTCAAAGTCATCTTCTTTTACATATCAAGTTGGAGGCCAGCTTGAGGTACATGAGATTCCTGTCTCAAAGCAACGAAAAAAGAAAAATATATATACTTGAAGGCTGGGCATGGTGGGCGCAGTGATCCTAGGACTTGGATCCTAGGACTTGCCATTTTATCTGTCCCTAAAAACATCTGACCTAGTTGGCTTTTATGATCACCTTTGCCAGAGAGGTTCAAAGACCTGCGGGGGGCAAGGATCCTCTCTCCCCAAGCTGGAAGTCGAGGTCCCCTTGATCTAGGTACCCTAGACTGACACTCTCCCGTCTCCTTCTGCAGCCAGAGCCCAACCCTGACCCTGCAGTCCACCAACACACACACGCAGAGCAGCAGCTCCAGCTCTGATGGTGGCCTCTTCCGCTCCAGACCCACCCACTCACTCCCACCTGGTGAAGATGGCCGAGTTGAGCCCTATGTGGACTTTGCTGAGTTTTACCGCCTCTGGAGTGTGGACCATGGTGAGCAGAGCGTGATGACAGCACCTTAGCTTGGCTTCAGAGTGCAGCCTAAGCAGGCCTTGTGTGTAGGCACAGAAGCCCAGCACCAAAGCAGGACAGGCTTTAGTCTTCCTTGACCTTTGCAGGTGCCATGAGACCAGTGGGCGCCATGTCCTCATTGTGCTGCAGGCTCTATCCCACTGCATTTGGGCTATAGCCCGAGTATAAACTTCATTGCTTGTCTACACAGGAGGCTAGAGGTCAGGCCACAGGCAGCATCAGACAGGGTCAAGTGCAGAAGCTGCAGGTGGCCTGCAAGCCATCAAGAATACTTCCTGACGTGTGTAAAAAGGAGGAAGAATCAGCGCTGTGGACCCCAAGTGCCGCAGTTCTGACAGACACTGCTCCCCCAAGACCAGCCCTCCCTGTCCCCACCTCCCCTGCAATAGCCTGTGACCATTGTTGGTGTCCCTCAGCTCTGCATGGAAATCCCCTTCCAGTCTTTCAGCCTGAACTCCTCTAAGTCCCGAAGCCCAGGTGGCATTGCACTTGGCCCTGGTTGTCATTGGGAAAGTTCAGGAAGATCAGGGAAGCACTGGGAGCTGTGATAGCCATACGGGAGCAGGATGGAGAAAAGGACCTCCTCACAGAACCAGCCTAAGGACTGTTAGACCTGGACTGTGGAAGCTGGCTGCTGAGCTAAGCCAGGGAACATAGGGGTGAAGCTGGACTCACTGAGCTGGCTTCCCAGTAGGATGCGGACAGTGAGGCCAGGCCCACTGCGCAGTCACAGTGGCTGCTTTTGCTAGGTCCTGCCCAGAAGTAGGAGAAGCCGAGTTAGATAAGCAGATTCCTGCTCTACTTCCTCCCTGCTGGTCCTGGGGAGACCATGGTGCTGAGGGCCACTGCCTTCACGCTGCTGGCTCTGGATAGCAGTCAGAGATGGGAAGCAGGCTGTGCTCTGCCGAAAGATGACTGGACAGCATCTGTGAGAGAAGAGTCCTGCCCACCCAGAAGGGCTTTAAGGGTGTGCATGATGTTTGCCAGCCCAAAGGGAAGGGCTGGCCAGACCCTGAGTTGGACTAACTCAAATATATTCTCTGCCTTCTGTGGGGAGGGCCAGTCCATGGCCGCCCCCATGCTCAGAGGAGGAAGCCGGCCAGGGAGGCCCCCTTGCCTGAGCCCTGCCGTCAGTATTGGAGTCCATGCTCAAATCTTGGCCTTTCTGTATGTAGTCCCACGATTCTGACAGCCTTTCCACAGCCTCCCCTACCATGTGCAGCCTCTGAGCAGTGTTCAATGTGTCCCCTGTTGGCAAAGTCCAGTTTCAAGCCCTTCTCAGAGTCCATTTCCCTGATGTGGGCTGCCTGTGCAGTACTGGGGAGAGGCTGGATTTCCTGGGAAGCACTTGGAAGGGGAGGAAGAAGCCTATCACCGCTGCCCTCACTAGGAAGCCACCTCTGTCCTGCTGCTGAGTGGATTTCAGCTGTTGCTCAAAGGTTTAGGGACAAAGAAGATTCTCTCCCAAGAATGTGGTGCTGTTTGGTCTCTAGAAATAGAATCCTGTTCTTAATGCAGTAAACTAATATGTGGTGGTGTTACATGTCATCTTGTTAGTACTCTCTTGAACCTGTACATCCAGGAGGTGCCACCACCTCCTGTTCTGCTCAGGAGTCTTGAGAGCCAAGGCCTCCTGACTGCATCCACATCCTGCCCTTGTCCACTGAACGTGGGTTTTGACACAGGCCTGCTGTCTGAGCTCCAGGGGGCAGCACTTCATTCCTAGGTCCTGTGCCTGTGGGTGGAGCATTGCTGTTTACCACTCCCAGGGGAATGAGCCCAGGGTCTGGTGAGAGCAGTTAACTGCCTGGGGCTCAGGTCACAGGGCAGGGGCCTCACCCCTCATCAGCTCCTTGGCTTTATTTGGTCTTGTTTGGTTGAACGTGCCTCTTACTGCTCTGGGGACTTCACTCATCTGCCACAGGCTGAAAGGCTGTGTCTGCTGAAACAAAGCCCGATTCTGTCTGCTGTAGTCACAGGATCCTTACCCTCCCCTCTGCTGGGCAGGGCTCTTGGCAAGGGGCTCTGCTTGCAGAGCTTCCTTTCAGGCACTGACAGGTTCAGCTATGGCCCTGGTCATGGGCGGCTACCATCCAACTCCCCAGGCCCTGGGCCGCCCTAGCACCTGCTCGCCTACCTGTGGGGCTGAGGTGCTGCCCTCTTGACCTTGTGCTGTCACTTGGAGACCACTTACCTCTTTGTAGACCTGACTTCTGGAGGGAAGCATGCTTCCAACCCCTTGGGTTCCCTTTGGTGGAGAACCAGGAAAACACCTCAACAGCCAGGCAGAGCTGTGTCAGCCCCAGTTCAGGTTTCCAAGGTAGGCAAATAGGCAGTTCTGGGCCAGCACCCTCCCCACCCTCCGACCCCCTCCCTTGGCCTCTGTCAGGGACAACCTTTTTCCTGAGACTAGACCAGCCAGCTAAAGAAGCTCAGATGGCTCAGTGGTTAAGAGCACTGGCTAAGCTTGCAGAGGACATGGGTTTGATTCCCAGCACTCACATGGCAGCTAACAGCCATCCATAACTCCAGTTCCAGGGGAATTCAACACCCTCTTCTGACCTCCGTGGGCACTGCACGAACAGGTGCACTTACATACATGCAGGGAGTACACTCATACACATAAAAAATAAAAAGAAGCTCACCTGCACCCAGGTTGGCAGTGGTCACAGACCCACCTGGAAGAGAGACCTATCTACAGGATTCCATCCACTGACATCAAAGGAGAAAAGCACCAGTTGTGTTCTTAGAGCCTTGGTTACTGTTTGTCACACAGGCTTAATACAAATGCCAAACCTGGGAGAGGCCCGCCCTACCCTACTCTGCCCACCTGCGCAGCTTCTCGTAGAAGCTTGCTGTCCTGCTTTGTTCTTTTAGCCACATAGGCTTGCCACACTCTTCACTACGGAGAAGAGCTTTGTGTCCCTTTTTCCACTAGGACCAGCCCTAAGGTGAGATAGATAGCTGTCCCCACATTGAATAACTGGACCCTGGCAGGGTTTTGGGGCTGGTGTTTTTTTGTCCCCCAAATAGGGATAAGGATGTCTTCCTGATAAGAAGGCCCACTCCTGCCTTAATGTGGAGCTGAACAGGTCACAATAGTGTCAGCTGAGATCCACTGTGTATGAAGCTCACACTTTAGTCTAGAGTCAGCCCAGCCCGGCCCCTCACCTCACAGGTGCCAGGCCAGTGCCATCTGGGGTGTTATCTTGGGGTCCAGACACAGGGCAGTGACTGCTGCTTCCCTCAGCCAAAGCCCAGATGGATGCCTTTGGCCAGGCTCCCAAACATTTCCTCTGACACAAGAATCTCATGATTCTTCCTTCTGGGTCCGTTTTGAAACCAAACAAGAACACACATCACTGCCAGCCCCACTGGGCTCAGCGTGAGCATGCACTTATTTCCCACGCAAAGGTGATGCCAGCTCAGCACAGACAAGCTCCTGACATGTCTCTAAGCCTGGGTGGCCTTGTCGAGGACAGACTGCCTAGCAGCCAGCTTTGACTACTACTGACCGCAGTTTATGGATGTATGTTTGCTCTTGGGGTCCCAGGACCCCAGGCTGTGTGGGCTGAGTTTCAGCCCTACCTCATTCTCTTGGGCCTGGAGAGGCCTGAGGCAGGAATAGATCTTAGAATCTGTGGCTGGTTTCCCACCCACCATGATGAAGCTCCTGAACTTTTAACTTGAGCAAAGCCATCCTGTGGTCCAGACAGGGCTAAGTTCAAGAACCTTCTATGACTCCATCCTCCTGCCTCCTAGCACCTGCAGTATGAGAGTCATTTGACAGCTTGCTAGTCCCTCCTGGCCCTGGGCTCTGCTTCTCACATATTAGTAGCCCAGTGTCAGCCCAGAAATGTTTAAGGTAACTGTCAGGTAAGGGCTGAAGAGATCCTCAGAGGTTAATAGTGCTTGCTGCTCTTCCAGAGACAGTGAGATTGGTTACCAGGACCCACATCAGGCAGCTTACAACCATCTGTAACTCCAGCTTCAGGGAATCTGACATCCTCGTTGACATCCTAGTGTACTCAAACACAAATTTAAATTTTTCAATATTTGAAAAAATATTTTATGTATGAGTGTATTGTCTGCATGTATGAGAGCGCACCCATGTCATGGCAGTGCGCGAGGCAGTCAGAAGAGAGTATCGGATTCCCCTGGAACTGGAGTTACAGACAGTTGTTAGCCACCGTGTAGGTGCTTGGAACTTAACCTGTGTCCTCTATAAGAGCAGCCAGTGCTCTTAACTGCTGAGCCATCTCTCCAGGCCCTTAAATATTTTTTTTAAGTCAGGTGACCATGACGGACAAAAGCATAAACTTATCCAGTGCCAAGCTTCCAGAACCTGGCCACTGGACACAGCTATTCTACAAAAAACAGCCCCACTCCAGTCTCCCCAAAGTTTTGAGGCTGGCAATAAGTTAAATTTATCATTTTTTATTTTGATGATTTTTTTTTTTTTTTTTTTTTTGGTCTTTTTGAGACACAATCTCCCTGTAACCTGAGCTGTCCTGGAACTCACTATGTAGACCAGGGTGGCCTTGAACTCACAGAGATCTGCCTGCCTCTGCATCCAAGTGCTGGGACTACGGGCGTGCTCTACCACGCCCAGCTATTTTGATGATTTTTGCATGTATTTGTGTATGTGTGTGTGTACCATGACACACATGGAGGTAAGGGGCCAACCTGAGTTCTCTCTACCATGCGGGTTCTGAGGATCGAAATCAGGTCATCAGACTCTCTTACCTTCAGAGCCATCTCTCTGGCTCCTCAAAAAAATGTAATTACTCATTATCAGGTAAGTTGATGCATCAGGAGGCACATTGTTAACCCTATATGTTAGCAAATACACCCCTCCCAAACATGATGGGAGTGGGCGTCTTAGAGGTCCCAGGCTTCCAGGCCCTAGTGACCCTAATCAAAAGGTGATTGCTCCCTGGTCCAGATGCCTCCTGGGAGCTTGCAGTGCCTAACGCAGGTCAAAGCTGGGTGAGAGATAAGAGGCCATTCAGCTCAATGTCAAAAAGGCCTTCTCGCAGTTGGGTGTGGACTTTGGAAGGGGTTGTTTGTGGGAGGTGGGGAGTCTTCATCATCCAGGATGTGAGCAGGTGCATGCCAACTGGCATCAGCTGCAGGGAGGATCATGTTGTCAGCCCCAGCCTTGTGGAACAGTTGAGTCCTTTGGCAACCAAGAGGAGGTGGTGGTTAAAAATATAGGTTCCCTGGCTCTACTCTATTTGCAGAGCTACTCCAGAGGGAAGTCACACTGGACTCCAGCAAGACCCATGTGTCTCCAGGTGCATTTAGAGAAAGACAGCACAGACAGGTGCCTGCCCTCCTGCCCCCTATCAACTATGAGGCATTTCTTGGTTTGGTGCTCTGGGAATTCTACCCCTAGATGCCCACAGGTGAACTTGGATAAATCCCATGAACCTCACTGATCCAGAGCTCATCTCTAAAGGGTCAGGCATGGTAGTACACCCCAGTAATTCCAGCACTGGGGAAACTGAGGCAACAGGATCTCAAATTTGAGACCAGGCTATATAATGAAACCGTGTGTAAAATAATACAGAGGAGCTGGGGTGTAGTTCAGTTGGTAGAGTGTTTGCCTAGCATGCACAAAGCCCTGGGTTTGATCCCCAGCACCTTCTAAAACACACTGATCAGAGGATCAGAAAGTCAAGGTCATCCTTGGCCTACACATTAAGCTCAAGGCCAATTTGGCCTATATTGTCTCAAAAAAAAAAAAAAAAAAATAGCACCAGTGAGATGGCTCAGCAGATGGAGGTGGCTGCTCCCAAGTCTGAACCTGAGTTTGGTCCCCAGGACTAACATGGTAGAAGGTGGGAACCAAAAAACTTATAAGGGAATGAGCCTTTGCGTCTTATACTTTTGTTACTGTCACAGAACTGAAAACTGCTCAGTGAAAGAAGCCAGACAAAAGGCTACACAGCCAGATTCCTTTTAAATGAACATCCAGACAGGTGAACCCATAGGGAAGAAAGCAGATGGGTGCTTGCAAGGGGCTGGGGGATTGGGGAATCGGGAGTGTTTGGATATAGTGGGTTTGCCAGGGTGATGGAAAAACTTGATACCAGAGAGAGGCAGTGGCTAGGCAGCACCATGCCTTAAATGCTTCAGACTGTACATTTTCAAGTCGTCGATCATGTGAACTTTGTGTCAATTCAAGAAGAACAAGACTAGCCCCTCTGAGAAGGAAGAGCTGTAGGTACCTCCTCCGTACCCACAAAGCTCTGGATCAACCCTCTTGGGTTCACAGCCCAGCATACTATTTTAGAGATTCTATCATATCTGAAAAGAGTACTTGTTCCAGCCTTTCTAACCAGTGCCCAGAGGCAGATCATGTGACACGTGATCCACAGGAAAGCTAGGGCCTTTCCATTCTTTTTCCTGCCAGGTTAGCATGAACAGCCATGTGCAGGGGCTTGGAAGCCATATGTCCCAGTGGATGGCACAGCTCTAGACTTCAAACTAGAACTATGGGATAGGTCTGAACAGTATAAGG